TTTTAGAGATATTGAGGTAAGTACCAAAAGTAGCTAATGGCAATGAAAAGGATTGCCTCTGGGGAGTAATAAATATATGAAAATATGCATGCGCATGTGTCTTGGGAAGGGTAGAATTGCTCTTTAACCTATATGCCCAGATAACTTAAAATAAAAAATGAATTTATGAACAAATATCCCAATACATTCCAAAAAAAGCATATGCAATACTTGAATAATTACCATACCTGGAAAAAGGCACATTCTGAATACTTCTTCCAAATTGTCTCTGATCTGGGCTTGTTTTGACAGTATTTTGCATATATCTGAAAATCATCCTTCTGTGATAAAGAACAAATTCAGACATATTACCAATTTTCAAATACAAATTTTTATTATAAAGAAAGGTTGAGAGAGAATGAGTGTGACCAAGCAATATAGAAAATGTGACCTAAAGGGCCTTCTCTACTGGCAGCTTGTCAGGAGCCCTCTTTATATTTCAAGTACGACACATTCACTGGACATGGTGCCTGGATGCTTAATCATCTACACAATTTCAGAACAACCAAGCTTGAGAGTTTGAGGGAGAAAAGCCTTCTCTGAGTGAACTATAAAAATGACTATTATTTGAGTACTCATCATAGCATTAAGTCTCAATGTACAGCACATTAAGGACAGAGATCCTACATGAGGAGTAAGTGCTATGATGAGTACTCAAACAGTATATTTCACTTTGTGTTTCTATGGGGGTGCAAACTGTTGAAATCTTTACTTAATGTATACTAAACTGATCTTCTGTTAAAAAAAAAAAGAGAAGAAATTAGCAATTCCCAACTTGACTCTCACTGGGATTAAACATGACAATAGGTCTGATCTGATTTCATCATCATTTAAAAAATCATCTATTATTTTTCACTTTATGTTTGTGTGGGAGCAAACTGTTGAAATCTTTACTTAATGTATGCTAAACTGATCTTCTGTATATAAAGAGAATCGAAAATGAATCCTCATGTGAATGGAAGGGGAGAGGGAGTGGGAAAGGGGAGGGTTGCGGGTGGGAGGGGATGTTATGGGGGGGAAGCCATTGTAATCAATAAGCCATACTTTGGAAATTTATATTCATTAAATAAAAGTTAAAAAAATGACTATTATTTTTTCATAACCATAAACTAACGTGGTACTAATATGCCCTTTCTATGCTATTAGTCTCCTGGTTCCCCCAATGAATGAAATTATAGCTAATTTCAAAGTTAGAGCTTGTAGTCCTTGGTTACTCTCTGGGACATCATCATTGTAGCATAATCCATCTAGACATCTGCTCATGCTATTTTCTTTCCCTGAAATCATCTATCTCTAAATCTCCTGTAATGGGCTACTTCCTACTCATCCTTTAAATTCATTTCATGAGTCATCATTTCTATAAAGCGATTGTTAATACCCTTGGTCTATATAAGATGCTCCTCTTCTGGACTCTCACAGGTCTCTTTGTTTACCTCTAATATAGTATAGTTCATTCTGTACACAATTAATGGCTTCCCTGTTTTACTACCTAAATGATCTTAGACGTGGTATTCTTATTGCCTAGCACAGTGCTTGGTGCATAGGTGTTCAACAAATGTGTATTGAATGAATGAATATGTCATTACTAAGCATTTGTTAAACAACTACTAGTTCCAAGAATTAAACCACTGCTAGTACTACTATTACAAATTTAATGAGGAATATGATATATAGGATATGAACCCTGTTCCACGGAACTTTTTCATCAAGTTGTAAAGCGAATTCACGTATATATGCAAAGATTCAGAGTAAACTTAATATCCTCATTGAGTAGCAAGGTCTTTATTACTGCAGACTCTAAACAGAAGATCGGCTGCTGTTAACTGAGGAAGTTGGGAAAGAAGCTGGCCAAAGTTCAAAAGTGTTTAACATTAGAACATCTTGAGAAAGGTAATGACACACAGTTCTTTCTTAGCCTAATTCACTTCTCATTTCATAAGCCTTTTCTGGGGTAAGATAATTCTTCTGAAAGTTTCAGCAATTCCCTCTATCAAATTGATTCCCATATCAAGACAGAACTGACCTTTCTGGAAGAGGATGAACTAGATAAGCAGAAAAAGACAAGCAAAAAACATTCTGAGAGAAATCTCTAGTGGGAAAAAGTATGATAACTACTGAGGAAGTTAGTTATACTAAGCAAACTCTGGGGACATGGATTAATGAGCCTACCCGAAAGATTCTGTTGAATAAGAACAGACAGCTCTCTGTTTTGTGGACTTCCTGTAATAGATGCTTTGCTGGCTGAAAGCCAAGCTAGACTGGACAATAAGACTTATATGTATTATAATGGGAACACCTAGGCATCTTTCAGGCTAAAAATCTATCAAGTCCAGAATGATTTTACAAAGATATTCCCAACTGGGTTCCTGCAGGAACACTCCCTAAATTCCTAGGACCACCTAGGGCTTAGTGGTCATGAGCTGAGCCACGGAAGTATTTTGCTACCATGGAATACAATGAGTGCTATATACATATGTATACACTACAATACCCCAAAAGCCTTGGTTTCTGCAACAAAGCCTACTTTGGCATTAAATATCTGCTGTAGTGATGTGTCCTCTTAAAAAACAGAGACGTTAAAAAATATCTGCCTTATCTCCAAATCCATCCTACTATTCTGGTAGCCCAAATATTTATATTTAAAAAGCATAATGTAACTAACCCTTTCCAGGAAACAATATGCCACTCTTTGTGGAGCATCAGCGCAGTTTTCCAGGCTGCTCATGAAAACACTGCAAACATATCAGACAAAAAAACATCTGTGTGATATATAATAAAGTGATCAATAGCCCTTTAAATAATTTCATGCAAAATAAACATTCAGTTTGGCAAGTACATACTTGTTATGGAATTCATAGATCTCTGCCATATTTCCAAAGAGAATGTCCTTTTTATTTCTCAGGAGAGGTGGCATAAGATCAAACATCTCTGGATTATCCATCTCTGCTCTGTAGCCCTATACAAAATAAATACACTTATCCGTTTAAGATATATCTACATTAACATCTGATTAGGCCATAAAAGGTGTCAGCACAACAAAATGTATAAGGGTAAAACAGTTTGAATTTTAATATTTAAATCTCCTAGTTCCAAAGTTATACATGCCTCTTTTTTTTAGAAGTTCAAGAAAAGGAATTCAAAGTATTTTACTCCATGGGCAGAATAAAGTGACAGCTCTGTAACCTGCAGGGTAGTTTGTGGCATAGAAAACAAAGTAGAGGGGTTAGTGTTCTGGCACAATGGGTTAAGCCCCACCTGCCCTGCCTGCATGCCATAGGAGCACCTGTTCAAGTCCTGGCTGCTCCACTTCCAAACCAGCTCTCTGGTAATGTGCCTGGGAAAACAGAAGATGTGCTTGGGCCCTTGCTAATCATGTGGGAGACTTGTATAGAATTCTGGACTCCTGGCCCCAGTCATTAAAGCCACTTGGGGAGTAAACCAGCATATGGAAAATCTCTGTCTCCCTCTATCTGTCTGTGTGTAACCCTGCCTTTCAAATAAATAAATAAATGTTATTTTTTAGAAAAAAGAAGAAAACAAAGTAGAAACTAAGTATGAAAATTTATATTATATATTATCAACATCTTAAACTGGCAATAACTTTGATTTTTTCAGACCAAATTAATACCATGGTATTTATATCAAATAATTGTTTCTCTTCTATTCTCAGTTCTTTACCTCACCATCTCTAAAATAGCACCCTAGAAATAATGATAACAATCTTCCGTATCCCTAAGAGAGCAACTTTTCTATTCTGTAATAAATTCTGAATCAACCATTCCGACTATGGAGAGAGAACAAAAACACACATGTTTTAACAACATCCAGCCTCTAACAGTAGGAGAAATGCCCACTGCTGAGTGACAACCAAGGAAGGAGATAGAAACAGAAGACTACCCCAAACATTTTCTAGTGAATGTAGCAAGGGTTCATTGAAAAAAAGGTGGGAGAGATATTGAGTCACTTACCAACAAAACAGTAAACAGCTCTCGAACATATACCCTTTCAGTCTGTATCAACTCATTTAGGACGTGCCTACAATGAAAATACCATATTTATCAGTCATTTTATTACTTGAGAAGTATCTAATGTTTCAATTGTCATCATTATAAATTGTGTATGGTAAACATAATTAATGCACAGGAGTTTTCAATGGTTTGGATTTTATCATCAAAATATGAAACCCTTTTTATGGCTTCTAGGATAATTATCACCTTCTAAATTCTTTAAATTAACATTTTAAAGAAAAGGAGAGGAGTGCTCCAGGGCTACTAACAACTTAGAATTTAGAATTTTTCTTTCTACTCACTAAAATTCAGAATCAATTGCTAGAAATTTACAAAATCTGTCCCTAAAGCACAATTTCGGAGCTTTAGTATCCTCTTTCTCTCAAACAAATAATATTTACATTTGAGGCATCTCTTTTCCTTCTTCCTACAATGTTTTGAAACTTTCCAAGGCATATAGTAGATTCATTGTACTGTTCTTTCCAAGTGTAGATCAAACTTGAATTTGTATAGTAATGTTTTTTGCCATCTCTGTAAAATAAATCCTTTTTCTTTCAACGTGATTTCCAAAGGTCAGATAAATAAAATTAATTTCCTTTCTTTCAATATATGTAACCTTTTTTAATTTGACTTCTACTTTTGGCCTTTTATTCTTTTTTCTTATATTTTAAAGCATTTAGCATTTTAAAGTCTGAATACCTACTGTGTATGTGTGAACTTGCTACAAAGTACTGCTTCCTTTAACTCTGTGATATAAGATTAAAAAGATGAATATTCTTATGTCTAGAATGTTAACAGAAATTTGTACATTGAGATTTAATGCTATAACGAGTACTCAAACAATATATTTCACTTTGTGTTTCTATGGGGGTGCAAACTGTTGAAATCCTTACTTAATGCATACTAAACTGATCCTCTGTAAAAAAAAAAAAAAAAAAAAAAAAAAAAAGAAATTATCAATTCCCAACTTGACTCTCACTGGGATTAAACATGACAATAGGTCTGATCTGATTTCATCATCATTTAAAAAAATCATCTATTATTTTTCACTTTATGTTTCTGTGTGGGAGCAAACTGTTGAAATCCATACTTAATGTATACTAAGCTGATCTTCTGTATATTAAGATAATCGAAAATGAATCTTGATGTGAATGGAAGGGGAGAGGGAGTGGGAAAGGGGAGGGTTGTGGGTGGGAGGGACGGTATGTGGGGGAAGCCATTGTAATCCATAAGTCGTACTTTGGAAATTTATATTCATTAAATAAAAGTTTAAAAAAAATGAGCAAAAATTATTATTTTTAACATCTATAAAATAACATTAAATATGTCTATATAATCCTTTCAAGTATTTGACACATTGTCCCATTCATTTTCACCTCTTTTTTTTTTCTTTTTAAAGATGATGTTTGTGAAGGGGTACAAACTTTGAGTTCTAAGATGAATCAGTTTTGGGAATCTAATGTACTGCATCAGACTATGGCTAATGATATCATATACTGGAAATTTACAAAGAAAATAGATTCTGACCACAAAAAAAGTCACTGTGAAGTGATGGATATACTAACTTGTTTACAGTAATTACTTAATTAATATATACATATACCAAAGCATCACATGGTATATCTTAAATATGTATTTTTTACTCATACATAAATCAAACTAAAAAAGCTTTTAAATAATCAATAAACCTTCAACTTCCTTTCCAACCTGGGGGAAGACGAATAGAGGAGATGGAAATTCTGAAAAAGACTGATTTTCCTTAAGTCACAAAAGCAGACCACAGCTTGGCCAAGCCTAAGTCCAGGACTTCTGACACCTCAACTAGTGCTCTTTTATTACACCAAGTAGAACTTCACGTTATAAATTCAAATTTTTAAGCACATTGCTCTTAACAAGGAACTAGACACTACTATAAGTGAATTACGTATATAAGTGTATGATAATGAATAAAGGATACTTCTTTAAAATATCCAAGCCATTGTCATTGTCCAAACTGGAGGACTGATCAGAACTTCTCTTCTCCAGACAATCATGCACCACTTCAATCTGAAACAATGAAAATAAGCTTAAATTACCATTTCTGTAGACAGGTTCTTCCTCAAAGCTATCTAGCTCAAATTAAGTTTATTCTGGGGTCTAATTCAGTACATAAATGGAGAAATAACATTATTATTGTTTTCAAAAATAACTTTGATATGTATTAACAAAAAATTTACTTGCCTAAGAGGACAGATTTAAGATATTAATTAGAATTTATTTCATGTTAATTTGAATTTACTTTGCACTATAGGGAAGTGAGGTCAATTCACAAAAAGTTGATTTTCCAGACATCTAAAATTTATTTATTAAATAACCAAATAAGCATTTTAGCCTTAATGACTTTTCATGGAAAACTTTCTAGAAGATATTACATTTATTCATGAAATTTTTAATCAAGGACACAAAACATAATTGATCCTCTTCCTAATGACTCCCTGCCATTTCAAAACTGGAACATAATAAGATCTAATGGTGTGCTAAGGGTCTGCTAAGACCTAAGAAGTATCTATTCCTTCTCAAAATGACTGTAACCTGTACCTGTCTATTCTCTGCCTCCAGGCCAGTTGTTGCTATGAGTGGCCTCTCTGGTCCAAAACTGTGGCTTAGTTTTGCAGACTCTAAAGGATATGGACTAGTCTACTGAGTCCACAGCATGAGATTTGTGATGGCTTTTTGTTCTTCAGAAAGATTTGAAGTTCCTGCCTGGGATCACAGGTTTATTGGACAGTTTTGCTAAACAAAAGCCTAACCTCCAAGTAAATGCAGCATTACTTTGTGATACCTAGAACCTAAGATGAAGTAGATAAAGCACAGGATCTAGCAGTTAAATAATATTTTCCCAAAATGTGACCTACTTACTAAAAATATATATGGAAAAAACATTTATTATAACTTTCTATATATTATGCAGGCACAACCCTAGGTATTTAACACACATCATTATATCTTTTTTTTTAATTTGATGCTTTTTTAATTTATTTGACAGAGTTACAGACAGAGAGAAAGGTCTTCCTTCCATTGGTTCACCCCCCAAGTGGCTGCCACGGCCGACGCTGTGCCGATCTGAAGCCAGGAGCCAGGTGCTTCCTCCTGGTCTCCCATGCGGGTGCAGGGCCCAAGCACTTGGGCCATCCTCCACTGCCTTCCCGGGCCACAGCAGAGAACTGGACTGGAAGAGGAGCAACCGGGACTAGAACCCTGTGCCCATATGGGATGCCAGCACCACAGGCGGAGGATTAACCAAGTGAGCCACAGCGCCAGTCCACATCATTATATCTAATCCTTACAGCAGTTGAGCAAGATACAGAATTCTTTCCCCTATATTAAATATAGGAAAACCGAGGCTCAGAGAGGTTTAGTGACATGGGCAAGGTCTCATACTGAATATGTGATGAAATATAGTGTAGTCTGGGCCAGCGCCATGTCTCGCTTGGTTAATCCTCCACCTGTGGCACCAGCATCCCATATGGATTCTGGGTTCTAGTCCCAGCTGCTCCTCTTCCAGTCCAGCTCTCTGCTGTGGCCTGGATAGGCAGTGGAGGATAGCCCAGGTACATGGGCCCTGCACCTGCATGGGAGACCAGGAAGAAGCACCCGGCTCCTGGCTTTGGATCAGCACAGCGCCAGCTGTAGCAGCCATTTGGGGAGTGAACCAACGGAAGGAAGACCTTTCTCTCTGTCTCTTTCTCACTGTCTATAACTCTATCTGTCAAATAAATAAATAAAAAAAAATATAGTGTAGTCCAAGTATCAAAGTCCAATCTCTGCCAACTTTATCATACTTCCTCTTCTAAGGTGTTCTTTGATTTGTTATGGCTGTTGAATACGCCAATCATTATCATTTCCATACAACACAATTAAGACTAAAAATACATCATACTATACCTAAAAGATAGGTATCACTATCTGTTTCTAGAGATTTCTGAGACACAGGTGTGGAAAGATTTGAAACACAAATTTATATTTTTAGATAACCAAGGGTTATACAAATTGACCTGAATTTGAAGACTGCACTTTGGAACTTTGTTTATTAGCTAGAAACCCACCAAGAAAATGTATACAACTGTAGCCTCATATATTGTCCCTGGGCTTATGCAAGAGAAAAAACCCATACAGAAGAATGCCAAAGTATCAGGAGTTGAAACTAAAACCAAAACATGGTAAGACTATGAAATTTGGCATTTATCCTACTTCTTTCTTGAAAATCAGAGTTCTGGCTACACAATATGATAACCAGTCCTGGTACATCACTGTAGGAAAGTCAATAGCCTACTAACAGTTATTTAAAAACCTTAGAACACTACCAGGCACAATGCATTGTTAGAAGTATTTCAGAAATGTTAGATAGTTTTTTTTTTGACAGGCAGAGTTAGACAGTGAGAGAGAGAGAGAGAGAGAGAGGTCTTCTTTTTTCCGTTGGTTCACCCCCAAAATGGCCGCTACGGCCAGCGCATTACGGCCGGCGCATTGCGCCAATTCGAAGCCAGGAGCCAGGTGCTTCTCCTGGTCTCCCATGTGGGTGCAGGGCCCAAGGACCTGGGCCATCCTCCACTGCACTCCCAGGCCACAGCAGAGAGCTGGACTGGAAGGGGGGCAACCGGGACAGAATCCGGCGCCCCGACCGGGACTAGAACCCGGGGTGCCAGCGCCACTAGCGGAGGATTAGCCAAGTGAGCCGCAGTACTAGCCAGATAGTTTTATCTTTCCACGAATTTCATGATGAGGGTGTTCTATTATTATCACTATTTTATTAATTAAAACTAATTTCCAGAGAATATGCAAGGTTATACAACCAGTAAGTGATGGAACTGGCATTCAAAGCCAGGCAGTCTAGCTCTACAATTTGTCTCACTATAATCTACTACCTCTTGGAAATATCTTCGTGTTTTCCTTTACCATCAAGAACACACAAAGAAAATGTAAGGCTTTGCAGCTATTGTGATGCTCTCCACTGCTGATATCAGACTATCACAGATAACTGAGAGGGAAGGAATCCTGTGTAATAGTCCCTCCTTATCTGTGGAGGATATCTTCCAAGACCCCCAGTGGATGTCTGAAACCATGGAGAGGATCAAACCCTATATATACTATGTTTTTCCTATTTATACATAGGAGGGAACTTTAAATGGTTCGTGAAAAATAGCATTAAAATCAAGTTTGTTTTGGTGCAAAATATTTTGAAATCATGCTTAGATTTTTATACTATCCATTTTCCATGAACTTATTGAAAACATTCTCATATGCATACCTATGTCAAAGTTTAATTTATATACTAGACACAGGAAGATATTAACAACAGCTAATAACTAAATGGAATAATTATTACAGTATATTGACATAAAAATCATTTAAATTTGTCAGTTGGCTATTTTTGGAATTGTCCATTCGGTATTTTCGTACTACAATTGAACATGGCTGTGTAAAGCCACAGAAAGTGAAACTAAGGTTGATGGGGACTACTTTGCGTCTCAAGAAACAAATGGATGTCTTATTTTGAGGTTGGGTTAGCCTCTGCCTGGTTCATTACGACCTGTCTTCTGTCCGTGCTTCATACTGCAGGAATGGAATCACTTGTGAAAGAAAGCTTCTCCCGTCATAAGGTGCAACACTTATTTAGGTTTATTAAAGTGAGGGTAGATGGTGGTGAAGAGAAGCTAGAACTCCTATCAGATGTTCTACAGAAATGATTCTGAATTTGAGCCAGGATTTGAGAAACTGCTCCTATGCCAGCACTGCAATTAGGCACAATGTAGCAATAGTTTTTTTTTTTCTTTTAGATTAAACAGCCTTACAAATGCAGAGTATTGGTCTAGTGAATGAAAAATATGGGGTAAGCCTTCACATCAGTTCTGCAACTATAGCAATAAAGTCAATGTTGAATTAATTAATGATATTTACTTTTAAGTCACTCTGATTTTGTCTCCATGTCTTCTTCCCTGGTAGAGAAATGCGAAAGAAGAATTTCAAACCAGAATTAAAGCCAGCACTTTGAATTAGAAAGCATATGCATATTTATTAAATAGAGAATTAATGTTCCAACATGTTTATATTAGTAAAATTACAACATAGAAGATGGTGATTAGTTAGACTTATCTATATGATTTCAGCCTACTGAGCACAATCTTGCTACAATATTCACTCATTCTCTCATGCATCAAACATTCACTTACTTGCAGAGCACAGGTCTAGGAGTGACCATTATTATTTGCAGACCTAGTATGCATTCTAATATGTAAGCATTTAATCAGATTGTAGCTCAAGGATTAACTGGATCAAAAAGACTTTCCAAAAACATCTAAATTTAACCTAGTAATCAAAGAATCTGACAATTATTTAGCACTTACTACATACCAGGCACTGTTTAAAGCCCTAGCAGTGCATTTTCATTTTTAATCCTCAAAGATGCCCTAAGAGGTAGGTAATGGTATCTATCTCCATTTTGTAAAAAACTAAGTTCAATATCTTGTCCAAAAAGCCAAGGTGGTATTTAAATCCATACAGACTACTTTCAGAATACATGTTTCTAACCACTACATAAAACGTTTCCAATACATGTTAAAATGCCATCAAAATTCAAGGCTTTAATCTTTATTTTTTTTAAGTGTTCAGTTTATAAATGGTGAGCCCCTGCATTATTAAGGATGAAGTCAAGATGTTTCTACAAAGCTAAAGGCATGGTTCAACCAAAGGCTAGATTGTTTAAGTACCAAATTTCAGGCCTGCTGAAAAGGTTGTCACTCATACAGGCTGCATGGGTCCCTTCTGTCCATGGAAGGAACATACTTTTTGTCCTTTCCTCCATACTGTAAGTGGCCAATGTCAGGCATACAGAGAGAGGCTTGGCTCTATACTTCACTTTCATATGTAAACTTTGTGCTGATATGATCATATATCTATATATGTCTATGTGTGTATATATATACACATATATATGTATATATACACATATATATATGACTTGGTGGGAAGTATAATGCATAATCAACTTCTCAATAAATACCAATATTTCCCCCACTTTAAATAACCTGATATATACAGATCTGAATTTATTTCTAAAGGCAACTTAGGGAACAATTATTTGCTTTACTAACTAATTTGTTGCAAATTTAATAAGAGATAGATGCAAAAAGGAATGTACATACAACTTCAGAGAAACACATCATTTTTCTTAAAAGCAAGGAAGATGTACTAATTATTTCAAAAATGTAAGTATATATAACATATCTCAGAACCTATAGTATGTGTGCAGCTCTGGTATGGAGGATAAAAAGATGCACTGCACATGGTCCCTGCCCTTAGAGAGCTTACAGTCTAGCAAGAGAGACAGAAAGTGGGCGATTACACTTAGACTGAGAAGACAAGCAGGATGGCTTGTTATCACATAGCATGAACACTTACCTGAACTGAGGTGTGGGGAGAAGGAAGATGGGGAAGAATAGCTTACCTGAAGGAAGAGGCCTAAAGATAGGCTATCTTATTGAGGAGTAGGAGCCAGTAAAGCAGAAAGAGAGGGGGAAGGGAAGAGTGTTGCAGAAAGAAAACAGTATGTATAACGTCCACAAGGTAAGACACAGGAAGAGGGGAGACAGGGATATTAGACTATTGCAGTTGTTAAGGCCACAGAGGATGTTAGCTTGGACTAGGAAAGTGGCAATAAGGATGGCAATAGGGCTGGAAAGAAGTAGATGGGTTTGAGACACTTAGGGGATAAACAGCCACAGGAGTTTTTGACCTATTAGAGATGGAGAGTAAGAACCCAAAGTCCCTGGCTTGGGTAACTATTGGAATAACTGTTTTATTCGCCGAAATGAGGAAGAGAAGGTCTACAGCAGAGATGAGTTAATTTGGGTTACGTTGAGTCTGAGTTTCCTATAGAGAATTCAAAGTCAGGGGAGGCAGATTGTAAACACAAGTCTGAATCTTAGGAGAAAGATCTAGACTAGAGACAGGGATTTAGGAGCTCAAATCCCATTTTACATTTCGTCCCTCACTAGCAATATCCTTCCATAAATCCCCTCTGGACTCAATGCCAATTCAACCAGTATTTATTACATCCTGGTAGTTGTCAGGCACTGTCCTAGGTGCAAGATTCTCTTTGATGCAAAGAAAAAAATGAACAAATCAAAGAATAACAACAACAAAAAAACAGTTTGACTCTTTTATATGAAAAATTAACATGTTTTCATTTGATCAAATCTTATATGATTGGCTTAGCAAACAAAAATCTTAAAGAGTTGTGTGGAATAGATTGCTAATCCTCAGTATTCACAGATCAATGGGGTAAAATGACCAAGGTTTATAGCATAAATTATGATTTGATTTAATTCACAAATGACGATTGATAATGAATAAAATCTTTATCCTCCCATGCCATTTATTCATTAAGCTGCCGTCTTCCTCATAAATACATTAGGTAGTCTTAAACTGAAGCAAATTCAAGCCCTTCCCAACAAATAGTTGGATTGTGGAAGACACAAGCATCTCAAAGGAAAGAAAGCCTGATTCACTTTGACATCATTACTTGTTTTTCCTTTTCAATGGGTCCTTTTATGAAAGATACTCAGTTTAGTAGCATAATCTACTTTTAACATAGTAATTTTCCAAGGTCAGTTTAATGCTAAGAGAAGATAGTGAATGACTGTTACCACAAAAGGAAAAGAGTTACTTGCAGGCAGAATTCAAGAATGAATTGTTGCTGATTTTAGATGCCAAACTGGTTTTTCACATGTACACAAACTCAGAAAATGTATTGGTGATAAATATAATAAAGATGGGTACCTTTTGAAAAAAGTTTACATGCTTGAAAGAAAGAGTATCCAATTCCCACTGCAGAAAAAAAGTGCAAAGCCATTAAATAGGAATATCAGAAAGAAAAAAAAAAATGAAACCACCCAGAACAAAACATACTTTTGAGTGACTACTGATTTGAGTGGGTCTTGGACAGTCTATGCAGAGCCTCTGTTTCTCAACGTAAGGTTCACTACTGTAAGAACCCCTTGAAAGGAGTTGAGCTTTTAGAGAACTACTAAGCAAGAAGCCTTAACCAGAGAAAAGGTGTGGTCCAGTTCATTGAGCACTACTCATAGTCTACAATTTTTTACACTTGTTCTTTACAATGACCCTTCAAAGTCAATAGGTATTATTGTCCCTATTTTATAGACAAAGAAACTGAGGCTGAGAGAGGTTATGTGAACTATCCAAAGTCACACAACCAATAAATGGAGCCAGAAATCTAAGTTAGGTCTCTCTTTTGCTTAAGGATATCAATCTATCCTATTTTTATTCCTGTAGCTGCTGATGTTTATACCCTTTAAGGATTTTCTTGTACTTTTTACTCTTCATTATTGCTGATATTTCCAGTATCTTTGAAGTATCTTTAATATAGGCAACACTTCATTTAAAGTGTTTTTATAGTTTTATTTGTGAGTATATTTGTGTTTCATAATTATTAACTATCTAACTTTCATTGCATTAACCGATTTACCTGATTTCATCACCTATTTTTAATTTGATCTGTGTGGGGAATAAGCTGTATTTTTATGATCATTTCCACTGCCATAAGCCTTCTCTGTACTTCAAAGCATTTCTTCTATACTAATTAGCCCTCTAATTCTATTTAGATCAGAGAAACTAAATTTAGTTCCAGGTTTACCCATTGCACTAAGTTAGAGTCCCAAGACCAAATTACTCTAAGAGACTCCAAAAAGGCAACTCAAGGGAGCTATTGGGGCAATAGGACCATCTTATTTCAGAGTGGTTCAACAATATTATGAGGATAATTATTTTTCCATAGAACTTAGAAATGAAGTCAATATTAAATGGTTCAAAGTAGTCTACAAACATTAAAACTAGACAATGGACTATGTAACAACAAACTATCAACAAAAGTATTTGGTTTACTAGCAGTTATTTTAAAAAGGCAATCTGTCCTATTATCTAAGCCATGCACTTACCAGAGCTTGTTAGAACCAAGTAATACTTTATCATCCTAGAATAGCAGCAAATATGTGTGTATGCATGTACACATATGTGTATAGAAGTACAGAAGCTATCCTCCACTTACTGAAGAAATATGTGACTTTAATGCTGATAACATCTTCATACTCATTTGTAAAGCTGGAGGACTAAGTCTTAAGATGTTCATGACTCTGTACTATATTATATTACTACTGTATTTTACTACTGTATAATAATCTCAACATGACCCCTGCCTTGCACAATGTAACTTAAATATGACCAGATGCTGACATAAAATTGCAACTTATCAGAGTTAAATAAAGAATTTGCTATTTACATAAAGAACAATAAGGCAAACAGTATCAAAGCAAAAAAGGGATAGAAAAAGTGAATGTAAGGTATTTTTACCATGTTTAGGTGGAAAAAATGGAGCTCTAGATCTGATCAAATTTTCAGATGCAGGTACCATGAATTGGATTGGCCTCACATGTTTATCTGTCAAGTTCCTAAAACCAGCCTGTTGGTTTTCAAATATGCTCCGAATGTTTTCAAGCTTCAGTTGTACAGTCTGCATTTGAACCTGTAGGTTGCATAAGAATTCTATAAAATATTTTCAGAAGTGGATTCAGTACAAATACTATTACATTTCTCAGATTTAGACAGTCAAAATATGAATTTATAGTTTAAAATATAGCAGGAAGAAATTTAGGAAAGTGACAGAAAACAGATTAATGTGTTCTCTTCATGTGGATATAAAACCAAGGTCTCAACCAAAATGACCTGGAAAAGAAATTTATCAAGAATCCATAAAATTGGTCACTGGGTAGAATGATTTTCCCTCTTTTGCTGGGAGGCATAATTGCTGGGAAAGGAGAAATATTACTCTTTCCTGTTTAGCATGAGAAAGCCACTAAATTATAAAAGTAGTTAAATGAGTAACAGTGTCATTGTACTCCGTACATTTTTAGCCTGTGGGACCCTCTCTTTATGGGTCTCCACATTGTAACAGGCTCCTCAGAGCCAGTGACGGATAATGGGTCACAAATACTTTAAGGCAGCTAGTGACAATCTTGGTCGCTTCCAGAGAATCATGCAATTATTGCCAAGACTGTATTTCTGATTTTCTGGGTCACCTCCTAGGATTCAGTGAGGCATGAGTTTAGATGCTGCTCCAATCTTAGAGTCAACTATACATATTAGCAGCAAATAGCATCACAAATGCCCTTATCTGCAGTGTAAAAAGAGTCCTTCAAGTCATCTCCAAGGGGGCAGGACTCAATGAAACTAGAGGTCTCCACCTGCTATCACCAGTTTCTTCCACCTACTCCTACTTCCCCAAAAAGACCAAGATTTTTTCTTTATCCCTTCATTCAAAAATTGATAGGAGGCTGGCACCCAGGCTCACTTGGCTAATCCTCTGCCTGCGGTGCCAGCATCCCGGGTTCTAGTCCTGGTTGCTCCTCTTCCAGTCCAGCTCTCTGCTGTGGCCCAGGAAGGGCAGGGAAGGAAGGGCCCAGGTGCTTGGGTCCTTGCACCCGCATGGGAGACCAGGAGGAAGCACCCAGCTCTTGGCTTTGGATCTTCGCAGCACCGGCCATGGCAGCCATTAGGGGAGTGAACCAATGGAAGGAAGACCTTTCTCTCTGTCTCTCTCTCACTGTCTATAACTCTCTCTCTGTCTCCCTCTCACACTGTCTAACTCTGCTTGACAAAAAATAAAAAAGTAAAAATAAATTTAAAAAACTGATAGGAAAGCCAGATTTCTGTTCACAGAGCAACAGCTGGTGACTGCAGCACAAAATAATTTAGGGTACAATGCTCCTGACATGAGCCCAGTGTTCTAGAACATTATTTGGACCTTTCTCCAAGGATGTACAAGAAAATGTACACAAGAGCTCTTAATGTAGGGAAAGAGTTTTTAAAAAAAGGATTCAGAGCTCAAAAGAAAAATTACTTTCATTATAAAACAGGCATATGCCTTGGATCCTTTGATGCTTAACAGTGACACTATCACCCCAATCTTTAAAAGGACTGCCTAAGTGCATGCTGACATTAGCTGTGATTCTCACCCACCTTACTATATTATCACTTTTTAAAAATTGTTTTGTTTGAGAAAAAGTCACCTACCTTGAGTTCAGGAGATAAAATTACATCAAACTCATACTGTAGGGAATCAGGATCATAATTTATAAAGGGCAGAGCCATTTCAAGAAAATTTTCAATGTCTTGAATGGCTTTCTGAACATCCTCTTTAGACTGAAATTTATCAATTTCCTGATTAGCTAGAAGACATTCTCCTTCATCACAGCACTGACGAGCCTGGTGAGAAAAATCAAGAAAAGAAGCATGAATGAATAGATAGGAAATAGATTTGCCATTAAGAGAATAGTTACCATGTCCTGGCTTCTGTGAATCCGAATTGCTTTCAGAGCTATTTAAAAATAAAATTCTCTAGGTTCTGCCCCCAGAAATTCTGATTCAATAGTTCTGGGCCCTAAGCCAGACATCTATAGTTCTCCAGAGCTCTACAGGTATTGCTGATACACAGCCAAGATTGGGAAGCAATGCATTTATTTCATAATAGGTAATTTATTCTGCAGCAGGAGTTGGACCATTTTTTCAACACTAACACCTTAGTTGTATGTTATTTTCCCAAACTCAATAACTGAAATATGAAACTCCTAGCAAGATACAAAGTATATAAATGCTTAATGGTTGCTGAGGACAAGAATAAAAGATTCCTTCCTGGAGAAGATGTACAGATTCTAATGTTTATGTTCAGATATGATGTCTTGAAGTGATAACCCTATTTTATATTCCTTTTGATTCCTTGCCTAATCATGAAATGGGTTAGACTCACAAGACATGGAGGAATATTTTCTAGTCACTGTTGACTTTATTTTATTTCATACTGTAATATGAAATGTGGAAGGAGCCTCAGGCTTCAGTAAAATACAACTTAGTCTTCCAAAAGTGTTCTCAGCGCAAACTGTTACCAGTAGAGGCTTCAGAGATGTGCTCAAAATAGAAAGGAAGCCATCACTACCACAACCTCAATGTTCAGAACAGAGGGCAAAATCTGTACTATACTGAATCTGCCATGAATACTGCATAGGTAGATGGATTAAAAAGCATAATCAAACTGAGTCCTTCAGATATCTTACAAGTTTAATTCCAAAGCTACACTAGACCTTGACCATACAACCTGTGAGAAGATAAAATGTATACCATGAGGGAGAGGGGCAAAGTATGCCAGGCCAGAAGGACCTAGGAAATAAAATTATAAAATTGCTCAACAATGAATCATTTTGTATCATACTACCTGCTGTAGTAGTTTATGCATTTTGAAGGTCCTGCTGAGCTGTATTCGTTTGGCTTTGATCTCATTAATCAAAATATCAGAAAGGTAACGTAACTCATTGCACCTCTGGCAGATTAAATCAAGTGCATAATGGTGATTTGATGCAAGCCTGTGTCCATGCAGTATCAGAAACCGGGACTTTGCTAATAGATCCTGATTTTAAGAAAGAAAGAAAATAATGACTACACAATCTCTGTGCATGTAGAGGAAAAAAATAAAATAATGAAGAACCAAATTGAGCAAGAGAGACTGCTGAAAACATGATCTGATGCCATACTTCTCTAGGCTGCAAAAACACAGTTACAGCAGTGAGGTCATCAGTAACTCACACTGGTTACACAAACTGAAAATAACCATCCTGCCCAGAATGTGAATGTAAATGAGATTTGCCCCTCCTGGTATGTGCAGATTTCAAACAGAATCATATGTATATGTATATGTATATGTGCATATATATGGAGGAACATAACAGCCAAACAAAAAGTAATATATTTTATATCATTATGCCCTTGCAAATCTCACTACAATTGCCCCTCAGTTGAGTACATAACATTACTGAGCTAAGTCTCATAGGACTTCCATGTCAAAAGGGATCTGAGCAACCTTGCTTTCACCCTGTCAACTATTGACTCCCCCAGTGTAGTGATGGACACCTAGCAGGAGTTCAAGAAATTTTAAATAAAGAAAATTGAAGCCCAGAACAAGGAAGTATCTAAACGGGATTAAAATGAGGAGCTACTGTTGAATGGGTACACAGTTTCGGTTTTACAGCAGGCGAACATTCTGGAGTGTTGACCAACACTGTAAATATGCATCACACTAATGAACAAAACACTTAAAATGTTTTAGATGGCAAATTTTATGTTATGTACTTTTAACACAACTAAAAATGAGAAAAGCTATTAAAAGCAAGCAAAAACTGAAACAAAGCCTTCTAGTTTGTAAGCCAGTTTGCCTTCTCTTTCTACTATACCATAAGATTATGTAAGTTGCCCCATCATCACAGAGATCTACCAGCATAATTCTAGAACTGGCTATTGTAATTGCTGCCTCCAAGTTTTTGTTTTTACATGCTTATGGTTTACCCCTAAATCTATTTACTTGCTGATAATATATCTTAAAAAGCATCGCTTACCTTTCATATATACAACAAAAGAATTAAGTCAGAGTTTTTTAAGAACTAAAGTCTTGAGTCAAAGCTTTAAGACTAGCAGCAATGATGACACTGTCCCCTTTGAGTACTTATGGGTGTTGTGCTAAGTGCTTTATGTACATCTAAATGAATCCTCACCATCCCTCTACACAGTAGGTCACGTGGGGCTGGGCATTGTGGTACAGTGAGCAAAGCTGCCACCTACAATGCCAGTATCCCATATCAGAACTGGTGCTCTGCTTCTTACCCATCTTCCTGCTAATGAGCCTGGGAAAGCAGTGGAAGATGTCCCAAGTGCTTAGACCCATGCCACCCATGTCAGATACCAGAATAGAGCTCCTAGCTCCTGGTATCATCCTGTCCTAGCTTGGCATTTGTAGCCATTTCAGGACTAAACCAATGGATAGAAGATTTTCTCTCTCTCTCTCTCTCTCTCTCTTCCCTTTCAAATATTTTTTTAAAAAAGTAGGGTACTTTATGGGCAATTTACAAAGGAGGACATTGAAGCTCAGAAATAAATTTACCCCAAGTCATACAACTAGAAAGACTTAAGTAGATGTGTTATGTGAATCTGGGTTTGGTTCAACTACATACATCATATAGTGGGTACTTAACTGATTAAATTCCTATACATTTCCATCATCACCAAGCACCAAATATCATTTCTGATAGACGTTTTTCTCACTTCTCTAAAATAACTTACACCCTTTTCTATTTGGGGGGTTAAAACAGCTTGCACCATTATTTCAGTGGTTTCCCTTTACAACAACATGACACAACTGTAGGGTAATCCCCAGTACACATAGAATAAGACAAAATATAAATCAATATAATTGTGCCAATTATACAGAAAGTTGTTATGAGATTAATCACAGTATGGGTTTATATTATTTAGTCCTCCCAAAACATAACTATTATGTTCTATATAGAGAGAAAACATCTGAAATGTAATCTTACCTGAGAATTTTCATCTAAATTTTCCAATATTTTTATTTTTTGTTTTATTTGAGCTATATTCCCTGTTACATCAGCCAGCTCTGCTTGTTGGTTCAGTAGAAATTCAACTTTAGTCACAAGCTAAAAATATAAAATGAAGTTTTAAAAGCATACAAATTGTCAAGCACTTCCCCTTTATGTGATGAAGGTTTGTAGGAAATCCTATTAAAGAAAAGTATCAACATGGAAAAACCACAAATGTTGTGAAATATTTTATTTGATCACAGAAATAGAATATGCTAAAATTTAACCTCCTAAATATCAGTGCAAACCCATAACATAAAATACCACTATGTTCATGGGCAGGCATTTATGTGTGGGCATGTATTTCCACATATGTAGACATAAAAGTATGCACATGTGTATGTGTGTGTGAATGGGTGGGTTTATTCCCCAGTTCAATAGTAAATGGTCCTAGGAGCAATGAGCACTCCTGGCACCCATATGCAGATCTTTACTATCATTTCTCAAGAGGAAAAAAAAAGGGATCCTAAAAGATCTGAGGCAGAATAGCTACAAGATGAGCTTGGAATATCTATTCATGGCAGAAAGTCAATGTTGGGATATGTCACAAGGATAGAGTAGTCAAGAAGTCATGAATTAGACTCTGAAAAAAGTAGGAATCTATGAATCAAAACATTCAATGAGCAAGGAGAAGAAAAAGCTCTTGCTTTGGTGGAATGCCTAGAGTGGACTGATAAACATGAAGGGTCACTAGGATTGGAAAATCATTGTAACTGACATAGCAATAAAGTTTGGCTTTTGGCTTAGGCAAGAAACATAAATAGACGTTAAACCTGGGGAAATGTTAATGAGGAACAACATATTTGTGTTGAAATTTTCTCCACAATCATTTTCTACTAGATACAAGGAGGAAAACTGTAACCATACACTGGAGAAATTCAACAACACCCTGACAGGGTAGTCAAAATCCACATCCACAATGAGCAGAAGGTGAGCACCATTCACTTTCAGATGTGATATCCTGAGAAGAGTCCATCGCTTATGTCATATTTTAGCTGGTCATACACATACTAAATCTAATCATGAAACAATGAAATGAAGTCCAAAATGAAGATTATTTTATTTTAAAAAGACGGTATAATTCAAAATGTCAGTGATATAAAAGACAAATGTTCTAGATTCAAAGATACTAAAGGAGCATGACAACCAGGCAATACCTGCCTCCAGATTGGATCCTGGAGGAAAAAGAAATTTCATAAAGGACATTACTGACTCAACTGACAGAAGTGAAACATCAATAACAGATAATATAAAAGTATCACATTGTTAAATGTAGTGAATTCGATAACTACCCTATGTTTATACAAGGGTATTTCAAAAAGTTCATAAAAATAGTATTAAAATTTGTCTTGGGGCAAAAATATTTGAAGTCCATAGATAATCTTTTTATAATATGCAGTTTCCATGAAAATTTTGAAAATATCTTATTTAGGGGAATATTCTTGTATTTAGGGGACAGGAACCATCATTTTTGTAACTCACTTTCGAATGGGTCAGAAAAATATTTTTTGTCAGAACAATTTATATGTATATATATATATATCTTTATAAATATATACTTACCTATATCTGAGGGGAGGAACAGAAATGATAAAGCAAATGTGGCAAAATAGTATCAGCAAGTTAATGTAAGGAGAGTGTTTCCACTTTTCTCATGTTTGCAAGTTTTCTGTCAGTTTGAACTCCCACATTTGTTTTAAGGCTAAACTCCTAAACTCCTATCCGCCCATCACTGAGGTACAGAGCATGTCAGTGAGATTACAATACTGATCAGAGATAACTATGAATTGGCATAATAGAATATAACCAGAGGAGACAAACTTAGTATGGATACAAATGAACACATACACAGATGTATATTTTTTTAAAGTGCTATTTTGCATGTATTTGGTTGGGGAGTAGGGAGAGGCACATACATCTGCAAGGACCAAGAGAAATGTAACCTATTCTTGCTTCAGGCAGTTTCACAGAGAACATGGCGTTTCAAAAGAAGGAAAAAGGCTGCTAGCAAATGAGTCCTGTGTCCAGAATGCAATGCTCTTATCCAATCTAATTTTGCTAGAACAAATGGAATACAAAGCAAGTGAGCCAGTCAGAGGCTGAAAACAAACTGGACACATACAGAGAGATGAAAAGAGTTTTCCCTGGATCTCCTGTTCTAATACTATGAAAGAGATTGTGAAGAGATTGGTGAAGACTACAAAAAAAAGGAAGAAACAAAATTTGTGTATCTTTCCATATATGATGGATTATCCATGAGGGTCCAACTGGAATATGCAGAACTAAACAGGATTTCATTTCATACATCAGGCTTTTACATAGAAATAAACTTACTGGATCAAAAGAATGTCTCTTAGATCACATGGTCATCATAGGTACATTATATTTAAAAACCAAGAAAGAAGTTAATATTATTTCCTTGGGAAGCTATCTCACAGTCTGAAAGCACTTTATACCTAAAATAAATTTGAATAACAAACCTCAAGGAAGAAGGCAACTTTGTCCCTGTCATACATGTTGATGCTTAAGCACTTTCTCACAGGAAATGAGTAAGCCAAAGGAGGAGAAATTTGGGCACTTGATTATAGGTTTTCTTCATTCTAAGTCAAGATTCACCCTTACTTGCCTCCTTTTTTTTAACCACTTTATAGCTGTAAGCATCTTGCAATATTGGATTTCTGATCGTTAGGGCTTAACAACCTCTGACACAATGAAAAAAAATGTATAAAGAAATGTTTTCACTGACCTCTTGAAAATCTTGCTCAAATTTCCATAGTTGCAGATACTGCTCCATCTTTAATTGATGTTTTTCCCAAAATCCATCAAAAGCTATTTCCATATCATGTACTTGAGCCAACAGTCTTAACAAATAAAAGTCAAAGAATTCCTTAAAACCAACCATCTGTCTTGGAGGCATGCACCTAGATCTGGCTGGGGAATTAAGAATTATAGGCAAAGGGGCAAGCACCATGGCATAGTAGATTAAGCCTCTACCTGCAGCGCCAGCATCCCATATGGGCACAGGTTCAAGTCCCAGCTGCCTCAATTCCAATCCAGCTCCCTGCTGATGGCCTGGGAAAGCAGTGGAAAATGGCCCAAGTGCTTGGACCCATGCCACCCATGTCGGAGACCCAAAAGAAGCTCCTGGCTCCTGGCTTCAGATTGGCCCAGTTCTGGCTGCTGTGGCCAGCTGGGGGGAGTGAACAAGTGGCTGGAAGGCCTCCCTCTCTGTCTCTCGCACTCTGTCTATAACTCTCTCAATTAATAAATAAATCTTTTTAAAAAAAGAATTATAGGCAAAGTCATAGTAAATGATTAAGTCTACTTGATTTAAACAATGGCAATCAATGCCCACAGAATTTATTCTGCAAGCCAGCTAATATTTGAGACACCCCTGGAAGGAGTTCTCGGATTCTCAAAGGTCTGGGAATACTTTAATACATAATAGAATGCAGCAAAAATGCCCAGTTCTCTTCCAAAAATATAAAATAAGTAACTCTAATCCAAAAAGGGAGTACTCACTTATTAACAGTTTGCCAGTCACCATTTATTTGCTGATGACGTTCAAGACTTGAACTGACGGCTTCTCTAGGCACTTCCAGATTTGTTAGCAGAATTTTTCCTTCTTTGGTCACAGCTGTAAGATTATTCTGTATAAAGGCACAACAGGTTGTATCAGCCAATTAATCACCTTACTTGAAATACCTAAATAGAAGGGAATGTACACCTATGGCATACAGAATAAAAAAAAAAACAGCAAAACAGCAGGTCTAGAATGGCCATTGCTTTAATAACTATCTGAAAAATAAAAGAATACTTCAGTACCACAGAAACAAGAGTTGTCAGGATCCAAGAATCCCTTGCTTTTGAGATGGATATTGCAACCACTATTTTGCAAGACAGTTGTGGGCAGAAGTGCCACTTTCTCTGTGTGCACGTTTTCTTGCTGGTAGAAGTTATAGTCTATTCTACTTTATTCAGTTAACATGTCATAAAATTATTATTTATTTACTTGACATGAAGAGGGAGAGGAAGGGAGGAAGTGGAGGGAGAGACAGAGAGATATTCCATCAGCTGCTCCACTCTGCCAAATAACCACAATAGCTCCCCATTGGAGCTGAAGCTGCTGGCAACGATATTCAGGTCTCCCATGTGGGTGGCAGAGACCCAACTTCCTGAGCCCTCACTACTGCCTCCCAGAGTCTACACTGGCTGGAAGCTGTAGTCAGGAAACAGAGCTAGGAATTAAACCCAGGCACACTGATATGAGACATGGGCATCTTAACTGCTAGGCTAACTGCCCAATCCCTGCTAATATTTTTATGTATTCAAATAAAGCAGTAGCAGCTCAGTAAAGACCACCACAATAGAAAGCATAAGTTCCAAACACATTTTAAAGCACATTCAGATATAGTGGAATGCTAGATTCTTACCTCACTTTCCAAATGAGGGGGCCTTTCCATAAAGAATACATGGCCGAAAGAAAGTGATTGTAGATTTTTTTATACTGGAGCATTTAAAAAGCACTTTATTTCCAAATACACAACTTCTCAGGATCGTGCATCATTCACAAAGGAAATGCCTAGATATACCATATCCTGGACATTCTTGCCTTGTAAAATTTTATTTTTAAAGCTTTTTACATACAATTTAAGTGTCTTTTGTCTCGTTTTACACAACAATGGCGTAAAATGGATACCATAAACACTTCTAGAAAAACACCATTCAAAACCTTTCTCTGTCCAATCTCAGACATACCTTCAACAGATGATACCTTTCAGCACGAATTGCCAGAATTTCTTCTATTGAAGGAATATCACCTGGTAGTTCAGTCTCAGCCAGTTCAGTTCCAAAGGACTGTAATATCTGAGCCATTTCTTTCACTGTGAGAGCAAAATTTTCTATAGCCTGTAAAGAACCAATGATTCTTTTCATTTTAAGGAAACTCTGCCAGCACATCAAAATGTGGATCAGTAATCATATTTATGTTTATTTTGGTATAACAAGTAAACACATATACTATGAAGTCTCATCTGCAGGAAATTTGGCACTGGCCTTGGCAATCAACTCTTAACTTTGCCTCTAAGCTTCTAAGAAACTAAAAGCAAGGCTAATAGTCTTCTTTGGATGATTTTATCCAAATTTTGATATTTATTTATTGGATGCTGATGAAAACTATTTCTTCTCTTTTAGGGAAACTGTTTCTTAAAGATGTCGTGTACTGAGTAATTTGTTTTATGCCCTTGAAAATCGGTGGTTTCTTTATTAACCTCTGCCATTGAAAATCTGCTTTATAACAACTTTACTTTTGAAAGAAAGATGAGAACAGCTTTTTGTTTATTATCATTTATGGACAAGCAATAGCATTCAAAATAAGATGATGGCCTAAGGAAATTGGAAAACAACTTTTGAAATAAGTACTATAGCATATTTGAAATTATCATCTCAAGGGCACAGTAGGTTAACGCCCTGGCCTGAAGCACTGGCATCCCATATGGACGCCGGTTCTAGTCCCGGCTGCTCCTCTTCCAATCCAACTCTCTGCTATGACCTGGGAAAGCAGTACAAGATGGCCCAAGTCCTGGGGCCCCTGCACACATGTGGGAGACCCAGAAGAAGCTCCTGGCTCCTGGCTTCGGATCGGCGCACCTCCGGCCGTTGCGGCCATCTGGTGGAGTGAACCATCAGACAGAAGACTTCTCTCTCTCTGCCTCTCCTCTCCCTGTGTAACTCTGACTTTCAAATAAATAAATAAATCTTTAAAAAAAGAAATTATCATCTCAAAAGTTCTGTTGCCCTAAAATGGCAAGTAAGGGTTTGTTGTTTATTTTGTTTCCAAAATCAGTTACTCACAGAAAGAGGGGCAAAATGTAGAGACAAAATGACCATCTGTTTAGCAGGCAGCTCAAGGTATCTGCTTTTTTATTTAAAACTTTATAGGTTATAAAAGCAAGAGATGGCTAATTTTGACAATAAACCTTCATATGGGTGGATGAATTTTTGAACGAATGCAATGTGACTGAATTTTTGAAGCAACTGCCGTGTGAAGAAAGTAGATGAGGAAAATGGAACTCTGATATCATGAAACAGTATTTCCTTTGGAATGATTCCCTTATCTAGGGGATTTGATCAATCACTGACAGAAAGAAGGGCAAACTGCAGAGACCACATGATACTTCACTCACAGATTCACACCTGGACAGTGCACAGATGTATTTGCAAATTTCTAGAACTAAAGGACTCTTTGCTACAAATAGAATTGCCTCAGGAGCATTACTAGGATGAAGAGGTTAACAAAATAACTTTTATTTATTGAGTGTTTGCCATAGGCTGAGCACTGTGCCAAACATTCTGCATTTGGTATCTGATTTAATAGTTTCAGGATCGCTATAAGGCAAGGTATTATTCCCATTTTATAGTTGGGAAAACTGAGATTCAAAGATGTAAAAATCAGCAATGCCAGGATTTGAACCCAAATCCTTTATTTCTTCGAGTTACTACATGGCCACAGGAAAAGGGTGGGCAGAATATGATCTCCTTATTCCCTAGGCCTCTCCTTCAGTTGCCATCCTCAGTGAACTCTTCATCATTTTTAGATAATTTCCTATGGGAAAAAAGTCAAGATGTTGAATTATATATGTATTTGAAAAATAGGAGACCCAAAATCCTGTTTTTACCAAATAGGAAAAATTTCTAGAGCTAGTTTAAAAGCTAATATGAACTACAGGCTCTACAGGAAGAGCAAAAACAACATACATTTCTGAAGATGATCCATTCACTGTGGCAGTACTGCAAGGTGCCGCCTAACTCAGGGGTTAACTGCTTGTCATCAATGTATGCCAGCAAATCACTAACTGAGCTCAGCATAACAACCTATATAAATAAGCAAGAAAGATACTGTAAAATGAACTTTAGCAGACATTTAGCAGAAAATTAGCTTTATAAATGGTTCTAGCAGTTCTTTCCTGTACATGCCCCCAGACATGTAGGCAGGACCTTCTTCAGGTAATAACTATTTTTATTATAAAACATTTCTCCATAAAGCTAAACTGTTCTCCATAGAAACCAAAACACTTTATTCTAGTCATGTGAAAGTTTGCATTGTTCATGGTCAAGCTTTTGAAAGAATGCTATGCCCAGAACAAAGTAATTAATAATAGTAATGAATAATTACCACATTCTGTGGTAATGAATTATTTATCAACATGGTCTGATTTTTCAAAAAGATCAAAATTTAAGAGCTCTCTATTCCTAATCCTAAAACAAATAAAAATATCTTTTAAAAATCAAACTCTTAACTAGTTCAGGTCATAAGTTCATGGGAGGTCAAATAATTTTTGCTAAAAATAAAAATCCCTGATTATATACACATACACACATATATTTATATATATACACACACACATATAACAAATATGGCATATATTTCAGAAGGAATTGCTTTGTTTTAAATCGATGACTCTATTCCATTTTTAACATTAAAAGCAGAATTTACATGTTTAGAACTTAAATTTTATTTTTAAATGTTAACTGGTAACATGTGAAACATAAACAGTACAGGACAAAACCCTCACAAAAATTAAAGGAAAAATTTAAATAATATACTCTTACCGGTAATTTGAGCATGAAATCCTCCTGACTAAATCGAAATCCAATGTCTGTGAAAGTTCGTTGAAGAAAACTGGTAGGACGTAAAACCAAAACCAAATGCAAGTTCCCAGGGAAGGAAGCCTACAGAAAGAAAAGAGGAGAGGAGAGGAGAGGAGAGGAGAGGAGAGGAGAGGAGAGGAGAGGAGAGGAGAAGAGGGGAGGGGAGGGGAGGAGAGGGGAGGGGAGGTGAGGGGAGAGGAGGGGAGGGGAGGCGAGGGGAGGGGAGAGGAGGGGAGAGGAGGGGAGGGGAGGGGAGGGGAGAGAAGGAGGGGAG